GGCACATACGACAAACACACAGACCATAAAAGCATTGTCCATATCGAATAACAGCAATGCCAATCTCCTGAAGCACCTAACTAATGTACATGGGGCTATAAAACTAGTCGCCAAAGACCCCACTGTCTCAACCACCGGCAGTGCCTGTCAAAATGTCTAAACATATCTTTTGTGTTTTATTGTTCCACTACATTTCATAATGACAATTGCTACAATGATGGGGAGTTGTCTTTTCTCTTACTGTGCCAGAACAACATAAACACTTGTATTTGTATTGTTATTATTTTTAAAGTAAAGTAAAGTAACTTGTTACTTTTATAATTTAGTAACTAATAAAGTAACTAGTTACTTTTTTGAGAGCAGTAACTATAACTATTACTAGTTACTTTTTAAAAGTAACTTGCCCAACACTGCCGGTACCAAAAGAAAAAAGACTGAAGTGCAAACCCAACTCCCACTAGCATTTAAGCCTCCACCACTCACAAAAAGTTCAGACCGAGCCAAAGCTATTACAAACGCCAAATATCCTTATGTTGCCATGTTAGCAAAGCGCTACCTGGCTGTATCTGCTACCTCTGTCCCTAGCGAGAGGGTGTTCTCCACAGCAGGAGACATTGTTAGTGCCAGCATATCTTCCCTTTCGGCAATCAATGTGGACAAGTACATTTTTCTTGAAGAAAACATGAAAATACAATGACAAGCAAGCAAGTCCTAATGTCAAGCTGGCTGCTTAGGAAGTACAGTACAATTCAAATACAGATTTTTTCAGTTAATCGAAATGCACATTAAATTAACCTTAATGTTTATTTTATTATATTTTGTATTTATTTGAGTGAATATTCACAGTTTAATAATAATTAAAAACCCAAAACTAATATTTTATGTTTTGTGAGTACTAGTAGGCCTACACTAAAGTTCAAATACAGATTATTTCAGTTCATCGAAATGCTGCGCTTTAATGTTTATTTTATTATAATTTGTATTTATTTGAGTGAATACATTATTCACAGTTTAATAATAATTAAAAAAATATATATATATATTTTATGTTTTGTGATCATTTTTTCTGCCGTACCGAAAACGTACCGAACCGTGACCTAAAAACCGAGGTACGTACCGAACCGAAATGTTTGTGAACCGTTACACCCCTACCAACGAGGCGTTCCGGGGCAGCATAGACAGGTCTTTTCTATATTAGAGTTTTACTCGCAACAAGGTGTACTTTGAGGGTTTTTGACTCTGCAGACCGTTTACATGCAGAAAAACCTTCATAACACAAGGGGGCGGGTAATAACTGGAAAAGCATGACATGGGAGCTTTAAGAGAAAATGCTGTGGTTGAGAGAAATGTTACCAAAGTAAGGGGAAAAAAACACAAATTGTTTGTCTAATGTTAACCTTATGAAGCATCTGACACGTACCTTCGTAGCCCCAAATCTGTACTGAGTGTGGTCAACGTCAATTGAACCAAGAAGCTTCTCAGAAGCCTTCTTTCCGTCAATGAACTTTCCCTCGGGAAAGGCACTGGCATTCAGGATTTTGTATCTGTTCAAAATTGGATAAAATGTATATTTCAGAAACTGTATTTGTTTTCCTTATGTTGTTCTTTCAGGTAGAAATCGATGCTGACCTCTGCTTGAAGTCAGCATAAATGATCCTGCTGGGGAATCCCTTCCTGCAGATCCTGATACCCTCCAGAACGCCGTTACAGCGCAACTGGTGGATGACCAGATGATTGTCCGTGATACCTACAATGAAGTGAACATTACACTAGAAGCATATTTCAATATTATCGTTTACATTTTTCAGTGTACCAAACAACAGCCTTGGAATTTGTGGATATCCAATTTCTTGAAAATCTGTACCTGGTGTTTTAACCTCATTTGGAATCAGGCAACGCACAAAGTGAGGATGGGTGCTCCTCAAGTTGGTCATGAGTTTTCCGAGATTTTCCTACAGTAGATCAATGGTCATTAGATCTTAACCGAACAAGAAAGTTGTATCAGGACAGTGTTTTATAAATGTTGTACCCTGAAAACAGCAGACACCGTCTGAAATGAGCCACCCTTCTTCTTTGCACCTTTCTTTGCAGTTTTTCCGCCAGCATCTCCACCTGATTCTACAAAGAAGACAGAAGATTTTGTTGGCATACGCTTACACACCAAGTACTGTGCAGTACTTAGTTCCCAGCAGTTAGTTCCCAGCACTTAGTTCCCCCATGGAATTCACACCGGAATAAGTCCCTGAAGGAAGATTACGCAAATGAAGCCGCTGACGTCACTTCTTCTTCTTCTGCTTTGGGTTTACTGGCAGGCCGCAAACAACTTCACGGTGTAGGCCTATACTGCCACCCGAAGTCCACTGCCGGAAGACCCGGAGTTGGGGACTGGCTTCAGTAGAAGCTGCTGGGACTCCCAGCAGCTTCTACTGAAGCCTTCCGAGTAAATCGCCAGAACGTCGACACCTCCTCATCACTCCACCCCTCACATGTTTTTTGTTGTGTTGCCATAAGTTAGTCTCTCTCCATTGGCGCGCTGGGCTAATGCTAATAGCTAATGCCAGCAAATACATGGCGGCTTCACAAAACTTTTCAGAGTTTTACGGGGTGTGGTTTGCAATTCGCCCAGCCAATCAGAAATTGGAACTTTTTTCTCCCCAGGAAAGTACCTGCAATCTAGCAGGGACTGAAAATGGGGAAAAAGTTCTCATGAACCAAGTTCTCTTTTTGGTGTGAACGCAAAATCCCAGGAACTAAAAGGGAAAAGTTGCCTACGGGGAAAAGTACTCCGGTGTGAAAGCGCCTGTATGAAACCCAGAGGTTGTTAGAGGTGTTGTTCAAATAATTGCCACCTCAGAGTCCCACTTGTCTTTATTAAGACTTAAGTTTCAGTCTTTCTGCAAATGTTGTACCTGCATCAGTGGCAGAAAACGAAGCATACAAGTAAGACAGCAATTTCATTGATGACTTCTGGTAAAGCTGCACCACAGACTCATTCAGAGGGTCTTTGTTCTTCTCCAGCCAGCCGGTGATGTTGTAGTCCACGGTGCCGGCGTAGTGCAGCAGAGTAAAGTGAGCCTCAGGCTTGCCTTTGACAACCTTTGGCTTTTGGAAAGCAATGTTTTTTCCTAGATGCTGGTCGTAGAGTTTGTTCTTAAAAGAAGTGTCTGATGCCTTGGGGAACATACACTCCTCTTCAAGGATGGAGAATATGCCCATTGGCTGTTGAAGGAACCACAGACATACATTAATCATGGTGACTGAAGGGAGAACATTGTATGGTAGAATGGACATAACCATTCAAATTAACTTAGCAGGATGGTTAAAGCGGCCATCTCGATGTATACCGTTGACATTGCGACCGTTGTAGTGGTCATACTCCTGTAAACTATCCCCCCCTACAGATGGCTGCAGACTAACTATGTTGAGGTTTGGAAGTAACAACATAAACAGGCTTTGGAGAAGAAGCTAGCCGACTAGTAACTAGCAGATAGCTTGCTAGTCAGCTACTGTAGCTTGCTAATTCTTCTTATGCTTTGATTCTATTCTGGTTGTAGAAAAGTAGTTCCACACTTTTCCCATTGAGGTGCAACCAAAATGATGTCCTAACTGAGGTGTGTTGTCACCATTACAACTTAACAACAATGGCTATTTGCTTTTGTACTAGTCAGATGACCACAGATCCAGTTCAAGGACAATTCTTATACTTTTCTATATAAATAAAATAGATAAACTAATGTGTTTTATATAAATCTTACCCTTTCAATTAGCTCAATGCAGGCCGCCAAGTCCATACCAAAGTCAATGAACTCCCAGTCAATCCCTTCTTTCTTGTACTCCTCTTGCTCCAACACAAACATGTGGTGGTTGAAAAACTGTTGCAGCTTCTCGTTGGTGAAGTTGATGCAGATTTGCTCCATGCTGTTGTACTAAAGACAACCGTGAAAAGATCAGGTTCAAAACGATCATTCAGTGCGGAGGAAAATGGAAATATATACAGAAGACTTTGAACACCAACATCAAAGATCTTGAATCCTGCTATGTCGAGAACACCAATGAAATGTTGTCTGGGTTGTTTTGTGTCCAGCTGCTTGTTGATTTGTATCACCATCCAAAAAAACATCTTCTCATAGACAGACTTGGCCAAGGCACCGATAGAGTTGTACACCTGGAAAAAGAGGAAGTTAAAGAAGGAGCTGTTGCTTTGTCTTCATTCTTCAAAGGTAAGAAACGTTGTGTAAAGTAAAAGATTTGAATGTGGTTTGAATGCTGAGGCCATGCTCAGATTTGAGGGTGTTTACAGCACTTTCAAAAGATAATAACCACATTTGAGGGGACAGAAGGTAATATTATTCTCATATTTATTTTGGTGTCAAATGGTTTGCAGTTGTTGTGGATATTTTAAACTCGTCAATACTGTAAAGATGTACAATGAGAGTAATCAATAATAAACTGGTGAAAGCAGGCAGCGTACAGTATTGACGAGTTTAAAATATCCACAACAACTGCAAACCATTTGACNTAGGGTTAAAGTCCAAGATGTGACACCAGTGTCACAGTGACGATTTATCGTCCTTTGTTTCCATATCAACTTTGATCAACACATGTTTCCACAGCAGGTTAAATGTAATAAAGGACATGTTATGGAAGCATTTGAATTCTTAAATGGCTTGAATTGTACCTTTAGCAAAAAAAAAAAGCTTTTGAAATGTAGCTCGTTATGTCACATGTGTTAGTCTGGCACATGGACATCTTGGACATGTTGTTATGGGGACACAAAATCAAATGTACTGGACCATGACCCACAAGACTGTTCAGTGTGTGTCAATTAGGGACTTCATGAGATAAAATAAAGGCTAAAGCTGTATAAGGAACTTTCCAGAAAATTTCAAGTTCATGTGACACCCGTGTCACGGTGGGTCCTTATGGTTTAAGCATACATTTACTGTAATGGCCCGTCCATTTTTGTAATTAATTCAGCAAAGTATTTTTAACTGGTCAGGACACTTTTATTGACCTATAACAGTATCACAAAGCATGCATTTCCCAAGGGGCTTTACAGTCAGTAGGCTACAGCATGACATACTCTGTCGTCCTTTTATACCTCGCTTCAGATAAGGAAAAACTCCCCGCCCAAAAAGACAGTAAAGCGTAAAACATTTCAGATTTTGTCCCCTGAACTACAATGTATTTGCTGGTGGAGACAAAACAATAATTGTCTCATATAATTTACAATTCCCTTGAAAGTGACAAACAAATCAGTGGGAAGTGAATACAAAATGATTGCATATTCTATCTGTGTGGATAGTTCCAAACAAGGCATTCTGAATAGGAAAATCACAGACAGTTTTTTGTAAAAAATGCCTTTTAAGGTTGAATATTTATCTCTATAGAATGTATCCTAAAGCATACAGACATGTTAATTTCTTTATTTTACAAACTATTGGCAAAATAAGCACTGCACAGAAAGGTCAGTATGAATAAGTAGAACGATTTGTTACCAATAAACTCTTCAAAACGATAAGAAAAAGGATCATTTTCAAGTTTTTTCAATCCGATACACACATTCTAAGCAATTCCTATTTTTCCAAATAAGGGACCAAAAGTGTTGGATGACACAAACTGTGTGGGACCCTGGATGTTTCCAATACGTCCACTTAGCCTTCACTAAGGTTAAAGGTTGTTGCTTCCTCTCCAAAAATAGCCTCTGCTACTAACTGCAAACAGAGAGAGCAGTACTTTGCAATCCTTTTATTTAGGCATCATTGACATCCCTGGAACTCTCACGCCTCTCTTTCATTCAGTCTTTTTATCTGGCATTGGCCTGAGGAAGAAGTCAGGCCTGGTGCGGCAGCGGTAGCACAGAGCCTGAGGCATCAGAGCGTACAGGATGTTGACCAGCAAGAAGACAGGCTGGCCGCCAGCAGGCACTCTGTATGAAAACGGTGTCCGTGTGTGAAGTGACGCACAGATATGAGTGAACTGGGCCTGTGAAGTAAAGCAGAGGGAGAGAATTGGAAAAATCTGTTTCACACTAACAGGGACATTGGTTTCCTGTCTAGCTTGAAGAGTTCACATATCTTTTGCAATAGGCTATATTTTGCTGCTGAAAAAAAATATGGTTGAAGATGATGACTAATGGTGCCTTCAAAATATTTCAATTCTTCCTTTGTTGTACAAAAGCTGTAATTTGTTTTGGTTATGAATTTTCACAAAACTATTTCATTTTGTAATGATGACCATAAGAGCTGGAACAATATAATACTGCCTCTTATCTCCACATATGTTTTTCAATTCAACAGACTCTTGCCAGTTACCTTTTCATGGACATTCACTGAAAAAATACATATGTGCCCTCTCGCTTTCGCCACCTCAAGTCTTCATTATCAGGTGACAATAAGGACAAAGCTAAAAAGAACCTTAAAGCACACACACAAAAAGGAAAAGGGACACATGACACTAGCAGCCTTGACTGTCAGAGCATCAGCTTTCCTATTCATAGCCGGCCTGAACAGCTGACATTTAACTGAATACCACCAAACCATTCCTCTCTGGCTGAAGTCAGCCTCTGCCCTTATCCCGCTGATGAGTGATGCGCTGCAGCCCAGCACAATAGCAGCTTTGTATTGTCCTGATATGACTGACCATGACCATGGTTATTTAATCATTGTATAAGTGGGAAAGAGATCAGTGGGTCATTCCAGTGGTATATTCCCTGTATCTGTAATTTAGATATTTAAAGATATAATCTATGCTGGTTTTCCTAGTTTAAATTGACACAGAGCAGAGAACTTAATATACGATATATGATCAATATTTGCTTTACAAGTTTTTCTCTTTCAAATATAGCATTCCTTGATTCAATGTAAATATATAACAATGATAAAACATGTTAGACATTAGCATTTTGTTTCACAGATAATGTAGCACAACAAATAAGCATTCAATGCAAAGGCTAACAAACACAATCAAACAATCACTAAACCAAGAAGACAACAAAATGCTTGAAAGAAGATAAATTGATTAGAGTGGATTAAATGACAAATCTAAGTTTACTAAGAATACAACGAAAAGGAGACTTTATTGGCATTAAAGTGCTATATACAATCAGAATTGCCAGAGTTTATCAGTCATAACTACAAGTTCTAATTTGTTGTGCACCGTTAGACCTGTTCTCTGGACTGTATGCTTGATTGACATTTATTTGCCCGATGCAGTCTATATAGTCATATGAAGTAATACGTCAATTGTCACTTTTTATAATGTCTTTGAATAAAGAGAATGTTTATCTTTCACCTTATTAACATCGTTCTGATATAGCAATTGTATTTTCATGCAAAACGCAATAATAACGACAAAATTAAAAATAAAATTAAAAAACTGTTGGATCAAATGAAAACATGTGTTTGGTTGTGAAGAATCTCTATCTGAGGAGGCTTGGTTTCCTTGGTAACAACCAGTACCTGTGCCAGAGCTCCAGAGTGCACCAGAGTCAGGTCCGGCATCCACTCACATCCAGGGACCATCAGCCCGTAGAGAGTAATGATGTAGTACGGTCCAGAGTACAGCATGCCCACCAGCATCTGACCAACATGGACACAATTTAGAGGTGTATGCACAGACAGTGTTTCAGAATAAACATGAGGTATTTCATAGCTTCAGAGTTACCTGTACTTTAGGATAGGCAGTAGGGTCTTTCAGGTAAGGCTCATACTGCTGTGTGTACTCTTGACACCATGTGCTGGAACAGTCCAGAACAACCTTAAACACAAAATACACAGGCACGCCACATAAAGACATATTTTCAACCCATGTGTGTGTGCAGTTGATCCTCTCAAGGTTTCTTACCAGGCCTCTGAAGACACAGAAAGCGAAAGCAGGGACGAGGTAGATGATGAACAGTAAGTCCAGAGGTCTGTGTAGTAAACTTTTTTGTTCAGCCTCCTGGATGTTACGAAAGAAAGCAACATCATGACATTAAACTAAAAAACGTTGCATCACATACATAGCTCTGTCACACACTGAAGAGGTGCTGGAGGTGAAACGTTTGGCTGTTGTGTTAAGCCTTTGGAGGAAATGTGCAATTTTTGACTTTTCGAAATGTATATTGCACCTACTAACAGGGACACAACAAAAAGGAAGCTTACATTTATCAAAGCCAAGAGACCAGTAGTATGTAATGGACTGGCAATCATAAACATGTTCTCGAAGGTCATAGAGACAGAAAAAATAATGTAAGAGAGCCAATTTCCTGAAAAATAAGAAATGTCTTTCTTATTTATAAAGCTCCAGAGACTGAACTTTTTATTTTATTAAGGCAAAATGTTCATGTGTCCACCTGTTTAAGGTATAAAGTTAGCATGTCTTTTAAATGATCATAATCAAATATTTTAAAAATAGAATTGTGTTGTCTTATATTTCCAAACTGCTCTACACATGTTATATTTTCTTCATTAATAAGTATCTATTAAAAAACCCATCTATGTGAACCAGTTATATGTTTTATTTTAACAGTTCTGATCCTGACTTACAGTCAACTCATCTTCCTGTGTGGAGGGCTGACTGAAGATGCGGAAGCAGGCCCAAACAGACACCGAGATGTATAGCATGTGCAGGAGGAAGAAATAATTAACTTCGGTTCCATGCTTTCCTGAGAATAGACAGAAGATTTATATGTCACTTTGAGAGACGCAAACCAAGACAGACGAATTTATCTTCATCAGAATGTGAATGTATCTATCATGTGAATCTTTTTCAAATTGACTTCAGTTTGGACCTTTGTAGTATTCTCAAGAGAGGTATGTGACGCTACACTAAAAACATGCCATTATTTTTACTTACCCACAGTACTCCCAAGAATGTAGACTATGGCACGCATGAGAAAAGATCCCACCCAGTAGAGACCAATGGCTCGGTAACTGTCCCTGTGGAGAAACAAAAAATAAACACATTATACTTTGATAGATAGATAGACAGATAGATAGATAGATAGATAGACAGATAGATAGATAGATAGATAGATAGATAAATAGCACTTACCCCCAAGTAATCGCAGCAATCATGAGCAGATACATGAGATAGTGAACACAGCCATCCCAGTAGGAGATCATGTGCCCATATGCTGTGTTAATATGTGGATCTGCCTGAAACACAGGGCAGTTTTATTATCAGGAATGTGTGCAGGCTGTGCATACTGACAACTCACTGACAGGATTCACAACAAAACACTTGCCTGCCTGAGGTAAAATGTCACAAATCCATCAATGATGTTGTCCTGCTCCAACCCAATGATCAGATTCACAACACTGAAGAAGGCATACACTGCATACACTGGACACATAGATATACTTTTATTTTAATTCAGTTTGGTGACAAAACAACAATAGATACTTTTGGATATTTTATGTGAATATGGTTTGGTCCCAACATGAAAACATGCATTTCTGAATCCATACCATAGAAAAGAGGATCTGCTGGAGCCTTCTTCTTGAACATAAAATGTGCAATTGACAGGATGATGACTGTTGAACACCCAGCGAAGATGAAAGCTTGAGCGCTAAATGCAATACAATACATTATTATAATAATACAAATAATAAAGTATATTTCAAAAGAGTTTATGACAAATACCATTATCCTATTATCTGTTCCACTAATGATACAATTTTCTTCATCATCACAGGCATAGAACAAACACAAGATAAAAAGCCTCACCTGTTGGCTATGAAGGAATTAAATAAATAGCAGATGGGGATGGACATCAAGGAGAGCACAAACACTCCCGTCCCTGCAGACGCTGCAGACGCACTCATCGCGACCAGGCTGAGAATCTAATAAGTGAGCTGTTAAAGATACATTTGTTTAGTCTGCGAGTCTCATATCTCAAGGAGTGAGGTGAAGTCAATGGTAGGAACAAACTTCAGATGCAGCTCGGGTATGCTCTGTCTTGTTCTTCTGGTCTTTCTCACTCCCCCTCTCTTCCTCTCTGCCTCATACCCACTGTCACACACACACACACACACACACAACCACACACACACACACACACACACACACACACACACACACGATTAGTCGACTTTGAGGGTAAGGTTTGTTTATTTTATTTTATTGAAAGTGCAGACTCTGGCATCTAGTGGTCGATTGGAACATGTGAAGCAGGCAGCAATATATTCACATTTAACAATAAGCAAATAAGTAGCATTAAGTGCGGCTTAATAAAAACAAATGTATTTATTTGGGGCTTAATAACAATGTTACTTATAATTGATCAAACATGTTGAAATCCACAGTTTTAAAGGTTGCTATGATTACTTCCAATATGATTTATACATGATGCAATGACAAGCGTTTGATAAATAGTGAAAATCTATAACATATTGTAGGCAATAGCTATAGATAAATAATTACTATTACGGCGAAAGTGTTCCTTCAGAAATGTTTTATTTGACTAACTTTGACTAACTACGACTTTACTCCTTAAACAGGGCATGATGTGTTATGACATATTACAATATGTCCTCAGGGATCACTTTACATTTGGTTATACTAATATAGGCGACACCTTTTAGGCTTTACCTTTAGTTATATACTACTATTGTACTACCCTTTCACACCTCCATTGCACCGCCTCCGACTCCCTATCTCTCGGCACTACACTATAATATTTTTATACTAATGCACTTTATTTTTCTTAACCGAATATTTGTTTTACACTGTTTTTGGGTGTAGTTATATAAACAGTCTATGGTAGTCGTCTTAATCATGTGTCTGTTATTTTTGTTGTTACGTATTTGTATTGATTCCGTCCTTTTAATAGAGCTTAGATTTTTGCGCCTTTTTTCATCACTTTACGTTAGTGTGTTGCTCTTGTACTCAGCAATAAAGTTGAATGAAAAAAAAGTGTTGTGAAGGAAGTGTGCGTCTGCGTCATTTCTGGAGAGACGCAAACTAGCAGAGCTAGACATCAAAGAACGATGGCGTCCACCGCAGTGGATACCACGTAAATAAATAACGACCCAAACGGTACGGTCGGTGTATTTTCGTCTGTCGTTGCCGGTGCTTAGTAGGAGTAGAGATAGAAAAAATAGTAACGTGTCGTTATGGCGACCGGGAGCGGGAGCGGCAGCAGCGTCGGCTTAGCGTCAAACCATGACGGTCAAGAGGCAGCATCAAACTCGGTTCAGTCTGGAGCTGCATCAGTGCCGTCCAACGCGCCTGTGTCCGGTGCTGCCCCCGGTGCTGCCCGGTCTGCCTCCCCGCCTGAGCTCGGCCTTCAGCGGGAGCCCATGTACAACTGGCAGGCGACGAAGAGCTCCCTGAAGGAGCGCTTCGCCTTCCTCTTCAACAACGAGCTGCTCAGCGACGTCAGGTTCATCGTGGGGAAAGACAGGCAGGCCCAGAGGATACCGGCCCATAAATTCGTCCTGGCCGCCGGCAGTGCCGTTTTTGATGCCATGTTCAACGGGGGCATGGCCACAACCTCGGCGGAAATAGAGCTGCCCGATGTGGAACCAGCAGCCTTTCTCGCCTTGCTCAGGTAGGACAGCTGCTACTGGGCTGTGTAAAATATGCACCATGCACAGGGCACATTCAATACCACTTCGGTTACCAGGTTGTTCTGGAACATTCATCTTCAGGGATATTGGATATAGCCCAGGAGATGAATTCCCCGTTTAGGAATTTATTAACTATCCAGATTTGTGTGATCATTTTATTTCACTGTCCAGTAAGATAATACAATACAAGCCATTTGTGTTCTACTCTAAATAATGATTCATCAGCTTTTGGTCTACTCTGTATTGAAGGTTTTAAACTTAAAAAGCATGCAGCTCATAGCATTTATTTGTGTACATGCGAAATTCTACCCTTTTCAGCTGGAAATAAAATATGTTCGTCAAGAATACAGATACAAAGAGGAAAGGAAAATAAGGGAACATTTTTGATCCAATCATACCTAAAGCCAAAAAAGTGTAACTTACATTTTTGAATGACACACATCCTCCCAATTATTTCTGACGTAAATTATTTAACAGGAATACAGATGTGTTGATTATGTGAGAGGGACATTGAGAACATATTATCCTCAGTGTGAACCTGTACAGGAATGTTGGCTTGCATTTCAAGAGCTGACGTTAATCTTACGACATATGGCTGCTACAAAGACTCTCTAAATGTGGTGTTCATTAAAGCTGAAGTTCGTCAAGAAGAAACAACCTGGGTTTTCTGATAAACAATCTGATTCAACTTGGTAAACAAACACTTTATTCATAGACGTAAATATGTAAAGATTAAGCCCCTGATCAACGGATGGAGGAATCAATTCAATACAAATCAGCACACAAATAATGAGTGGTTGACTTGTCTTTGAAACAGACTTGTGAGATGTCTCTCAGAACGTGACTCACTAAAAAATATGTTTTTATTTGGGATACACCTGGATTAGTGAGCTGTAATCTTACATTTTTGTAATGAATATATGCAGCACAAGTTTATCCTCATATGCGTAGAAGATGGTCTGTTAAAGTACAATAATTCACAGTGCCTTGAGCACATCGGACAACACCTACTGTTTTCCTTTTTGAAAATAAGGATTAAGGGACGAAACTTTGGGAAAACCAACCAGTTTATTCTGAGGAGTTGAGTAGGAGAACAAACTACTTATTTACAGTGTAGTTGTGTTGTCGTTAGCTACGAAAATCACCACTGCAGTTTTTTGGGTTCAACCTGGGCTAAGCATGCATGACTAATTTCCAGCCCTACTTCCCTGTGTTTCCAGTGCAGTATTCACACATGCTCTTTAGAGTTTAGTGTCCTTGACATTTTTGTGTGCCTTGTTTCAGATACAACACGTTTTAGACACTTTAGTAAGATATAAAAACAAATGTTTATACAAAATCCTTTTTTTCTATTGACCAATGTAGGAAAACATTTCTTGGTAGATCTTCTGAGGAGGAGCAGCTAAACATTACTTTATACAATTGGCTAAATGAAGGACATGAATTAGGTACTGTCTGATAGAATAACATCTGAGTAGACATCTGATGCCTTCTTTTGGACAGCTTTCGATTCTCTGTGCGGAGGACAGATTTAAAAACAAGCACTGAGGCTTATTTTACTGAGTTGCTCTATTAAGTTGTGTTGGCCTGTGATGTCATTTATACTGAGAGAAGATAACCCCATGAACACCTAACCTGACTCCACTAATTTCTTTGTTTCCTCTGTGCAGGTTCTTGTATTCTGACGAGGTCCACATTGGTCCGGAGACTGTGATGACGACCCTGTATACGGCTAAGAAGTATGCCGTCCCCGCCCTGGAGAGTCACTGTGTGGACTTCCTCACCAAGCACCTCCGAGCTGACAACGCCTTCATGCTGCTTGCTCAGGTAATAAACACGTCAATTGAATAGCACATATTTGACCCTAATAATTTCTGCACAGATATCAGATATAAAACAGACACGTTCAGATACCTTTTATGGTTGTCGCATGCTTAGAATTAGAATTTGATTTGTGATGCCTAAAGCCTTGAAAAAAAATATAAGACATTTTACAGCAACATGTCTTTGTAAAAGATTTGTCCAGTGGATAATTCAAAGACCTCCACAGATCCACTTCCTACTAAAGAAATAGTTCCAATCGTACTATTTGTCTTTTTACATTTAATGGCCTATTTTTATAATTCAAGCACTTAAAATGAATTTACATTTGACCTTCTTTCTATGAAAGTGATGGCAGAAACTGCTTTGTCAGACACCACTGAGAAAAGATAACTCTAGTATGTTATAATTTTAAAGAAGAGAGCAGGAATACAAGGTATAACAACAGCTTGGAGTGATTTCTTAAAAGTATAGTTCCTGGGGCACAATATAATATAATGCAATTTGGTCATCTGCTGGGAACTGACAGCTGCCTTACAGTCGAGCATGAAGCCATTTTTCTTTCTGTTTGTGATCCGCACCAGACCACCTTCCAGCCATTGATGGTTGAGTTTTTATGACATTAGCTTTTCTATTTTTGGATTATGCTGCCGTCTGTCTGGGTTCAGCATTTGGCTCTGATGCCTGCTACGCCTTCAGGCTGCATGCTCAGCTGCTTTCTGATAAAAAACCACTCCATTTTAGGTTTTTCAACCCAGGACCAGCGAGAACAGTCCTCCAAAAAACACCCAAAGCAACCCAGAGAAAAATCCCAGTTGTGAACTCTTAATTATCAGTTTTATTGCTGGGTAGCTAGTTTAAATCTAATTCATATTTAATCAAAAAAGAACAATATTTCTTCCAAACTACATAATTTATGAGATTTAAATGCAAAATGTTCTGACTAAGTGGATGTAAGATTAAAAATGCAAGATAGAGAAGCATTCTTAGTGTTTTATTATATGAACATTATTTTGCTTTTTCGCATGTAAATGCAATGACCAGTTTCATCTAAAACATACTAATGTGTCTTTTTTATGCATTTTGTTCCAGGCAAGGTTATTTGATGAGCCTCAACTTGCCAGTCTTTGCTTGGACACCATAGACAAAAGCACTGCGGACGCAATAAACGCAGAGAGCTTTACAGATATCGACCTCGGTATGTGTCTCTTTTGACCCGATATTTCCTTTTCTAAAGCTTTCTTTGGATGTGAACTGATGACTATTCTGTGTCTTCCTATGTGTAGACACCTTATGTGCAGTGCTCCAAAGAGACACACTGAGCATCAGGGAGAACCGCTTGTTTGGGGCGGTAGTCCGGTGGGCCGAGGCAGAGTGTTACAGACAACAGCTTCCCCCGACCTCGGAGAACAAACAGAAGGTTCTAGGCAAAGCTGTCCCGCTCATACGCTTCCCGCTTATGACTGTTGAGGAGTTCGCTGCAGGTAAGCGCACCACTAACCCTAACCCTTTTAACACCATACTACCATTTCAACATATTCATCATGTCCATACTGCTTGAACCACAGAAACCAGCTTGATATTCTTTCTTGTGCAACAGGGCCTGCCCAGTCTGGAATAT